TAATATATATTATCTCATATGTATAGAAAATATACAAGTATATAAATCATTATATAAATTCATTACACATAGAAATATTACATTGTAAAACTACTAAAGAAAAAAAAAAAAAAAAAAAAAAAAAAAAAAAAATAACAAAAAATAAAAAAAAAAAAAAAAAAAAAAAAAAAAAAAATACTATCAAAACACTGAAATTCATAATCACTTATGATGTAACAACAAAAATATTAAGAAAATAATAAATAAATAAATAAATAAATAAAGATCTAAGAAAAAAAAAAACAAAACAAAATGTCAATTAAATAACACAAACAAAAAAACAGACGATGGCAAAAAAATATATATATGTATGTATTATTATCTAAACTAATCTTAGTTTGTAGTTACCATTAAAAAATGAATTAGTACCTAAGGTAGTTAGAAAGAAAAAAAAATACATAGATGAACAAAGAGAGATACTGGCCAGTTGGTTTAAACCAGAGCCACTAAACGTATTAAAAAAAAAAAAAAAAAAAAAAAAAAATCAAACAAAAACTGAATTAGTTCAAAATACAGTCTCACACATTTCAAAGTTTTCCTGGAAAACTAGTGAAGGCAAAAATTTGAAGCTTTTTGTATGTGAAGAGTAGAAAGGTTAAAGGCTCATTTTCCCAAAATTTCAAATTTTTTTGGTGGAAAATAACAACATGAAAAACCTTGGAAATCAACTTACAAAAACTGAAATAATTGTTAATACAGTCTCACATAATTCAAAGTTTTCCTGGAAAACTAATTGAGGGAAAGTTTTGGAACTTTTACATGTAAAGAGGAAGATCAAAGGCTCATTTTCCCAAAATTTCAAATTTTTCCAATGGAAAATAACAACATAAAGAATCTTGGAAATCAACTTACAAAAACTGAATTAGTTGAAAATACCGTCTCACACATTTCAAAGTTTTCCTAGAAAACTAGTGAACGGAAAACTTTGATACTTTTTACATGTGAAGAGGAAGGTTAGAAACTCATTTTCCCAAAATTTCAAATTTTTTCAGTGGAAAATAACAACATGAAGAATCTTGGAAATCAGCCTACAAAAACTGTACTCATTATTGTTTTGAGTTTTTTAAATTTGGACCTGTAAATCATGAAGTGAAATTTTGGGAGAATTTCTTCAATGAAAATGAATGTCCAACGTTCAACACAAAAATAATTTTTTTTTTTAAATTTCCATTCAAGTATTAGTGTTTTTTATAATAAGAATGTGAACCTCAGTGACGACATGACTCTACAATTTCCTTTAAATTCCTCATAAATTCCTCACAATCACAAATTCATTCAAATTCCCCATAAATTTCTCCGAATTATCTATAAATTACCCAAATTCTCATAAATTCCGATGAGTTTCTTCAAATTCCCCACAAATTCTTCTAAATTCCCCACATTTTTGGCAAAGAATTCCTAAGTGGTTTGACTGGTTTGCCACTAAAGTTTACGTCACAAATCAAATGAGTTAAACTGTGCCAAATAAATGTTGATAGGCTTGTTCCAGCAAGTCTAAAACCGTCCTAAAAATGGTTTAGAAACCACTCTGTATACGAATTTCGGATTCTAGGTACAAAGTTTAGGTTTTGTGCAGAATCGTGACGGTACATTGTGCAGTTTCTTGATGTCTTGGAACAAAGCTCATAATTGTACTAAATACATGTACGTACTAATACTACTTTTATATTCTTCTATTAAAATCTAGTTTATGAAGCTAGAACTCAGGGATGCTACTAAATATTAAACAGTTCTCAGCATCAAAGCTGTATCTGATTCCTCTTGTAGCCAAAACTTTCATTTTGTATAGTTTTTTTTTTGGAATTAATAGCTCTATTCAGACAGTATTTCAAGCTGAATGCTACTCTATATTATTTTGACTAAAGCTACTCGAAAAACATCTTCTGATCCTCTTCATTTTATATAGATTTCTTCTGGAGTTCTGAATAGCACTAAGTATTCAGTATTTCAATATATTTACTTTTATCAAAAATCACTTTGCATAGCTAGAACTTGGAGGAGCGACTCAAAAACCAATAAAACCATGAGTTTCTGGCTACAAGCTAGATATCTTTCTTTCAAGGTTAAGTCTGTAAATATTTTTTTTTATATTTGGTTTCCAATAAATATTTTTTGAAATTGTGTAGGTACCCTCGTAGGTAGGTACCCATCTGACGAAATATTAGAACTTTTTTAATCAAATATTGAAAAACACAGTCTTTCTTTAACTACAATTTTTTGAAAGTCTGCCTTATTTAGAAAGTCAACTTGTGAAATAATGAAAAATTGAGAATCTTGTCTTTCTTTTGTTGTTTTTGTTCGGAACTATATCTATATTTTATCAAGATCTATAAAAATATAGTGCATATTCCAAGAAATGTCATCAGAACTCTTATACCTAAAATCAATTAGGTAAGGTTGCAGCATGAGGTACTTAAGCATCCCTACTTTGTATTTTATAAAATATCAACTATTACTGCAACCCTTGTCCCAGTCCCTTCAAGTTCAATTTTTTTTATAATCTGTAAGGGCCAAATTATGGACCGACTGGTAATATCCTTGGCAACTTTATCCTAGTGGTAAAACTAAAAGTTGAATTCAATTTTTAGTTTTACCAGCAGGATAAATTTGCTGAATCCTCAGCTGAATCCCTTTGATTGCCCGGCATAAAATATCTGGGAAAATTAATTATTTATAAAAAGAATAAGTAGTGATTTAAGTCAGTATTCAAAAAAAGTTATATTTAATACAAATAAGTATGTCTTGTTTGCATTTCTATTTACAAAATTATTCATAATTTTCTTCCAAGTCATTTACGAAGTTACCTATATGACTCAAAATTTAGATAAACATAACTATTCTACCCCCATAATAATACAAATTTTTGTTTAAATAAATAATAAAATAATTTTTCTCAGAGCTTTACATATTGTTTGCCCAGCGGTTCTGAGTCTACGGAAGGAATTCGGACGTAAATGTACGATGTTGTCACGTTTAATTATAAAAAAGCGAAAATACTAGGTATGATATATTACCTACATAAATCTATTTTTGATAAGTTGATGATTAATTAATTCAATAAAAACAAAAAATATATTTTTCTACAAACGTGTTAAAAATGCAATTTTTAACACCCCCTCGAAGCATTAAAAATGTTACTTTATTGCACTAGTGTTAAAAGTCTTTAACGCACTAGTGTTAAAAATGAAACATCAAAATTTGAAAGCAAACGTCGAAAAAAGTTTGTATGTTTAATTATTTACATTAATATTAATGGTAAAATTTGAACAATTGAGGAAGCTCCATCGGCCGCCTTCTCTATATTTTTCAAGGGATCCATGCAACCCTCTTTTTCTTGTGTATTTTGTTGCATTTTTAGCAAAAAGCTTACTGACCACGATAGACCATACGACAGACTTTCAAGAAACTGACGAGACATTTCATTACCTGTAAAACAAGGTGCTGGTTGTTTGAATTTTTTGACAAATATCAAATTCAATAATTTTACGTAGGAAAGATGCTTCCAATTTATTATTCATTTAAAAATCCAATTTGTCACTGGTTATTGCTTGTTATTGCCGTTTGTAGAAAAAATATTGTATGATATTTGTGTTAAAAGTATTTTTAAGGCACTTATGTGAATTGCAGAATTCGCTTCGCTCATTCTGCAAACTTTCACATGCGTGCCTTAAAAATGTACTTTTAACACTTATATCATAAATAACTATTTTAATTTTTTGTATTGTAGTATTTTGTTTGTTAAATACACGCATTTATTCAATTATTATTTAATTAAATAAAAATAACCATAATATTATTATCTTTTAAACTCTGAAACCAAATAAATCATTAAATAAGCAAATAAACTGTTGATAAAAATAATTCACAGAATTCTGATTAAGGGATTTTTAAACTGTGCCAACAATGCAGTAGAAAATTGAATGTAATTTAATATAGGTAGTATGGAAAATATTGGAAAATTTAAGGAATGCTAATAGAAGTATGATTGTTTCATTGTTGTTGCAATTTGTTGCCTTATAATTTAATCCATAAACTGTGACTTATATTCTTTATTTTGGAGTTAATTTGAACCAAATCTATGTATCTAATCCTACCTAATGCCTTCAGTTCAAGTAAAAGGAGAATCCTGGGGTTGATCAAATCATTTCAGGTCAATTGTTCTAGTTGGCTTGGTTCATTTTAGATTGCACGATGATTTCTTTCATATTTTTGAAACAATGCATAGCAGCAGAAATTAACAGTAATTGTAATAATTGATTGCATCGGTCCTTGTAAATAAATCAATCAACAGCAATAACGTAAATAATAGAGGTATTTAAAAGAAATTAATTCAAATAAGCATATTTTTAGACTATCTAAGCAATATATCCAAAACATTTTTCCTCTATTGTCCAGCATCTGTTTTGAAATCAAATGCGTGTTTAGAAAATCAAGAAATAAGAATTCTTCAGGATGGGATTAGGTTTCATAAAGAGCATTCAAGTCGCTTTCATATTAAGTGTTTAGTGCACTGGCTAGAGCTATTAATATTTCTGTCACAACTGGAAATTTCCCAAATTTTCTTGGGGAGGAAGTCAGATCGCTCTCTAAAATAGTAGAAAAACTTATTCAAATTAGACATCTTCTCTAACGAAACATAAACTTCTTAGTGCTACACAATTCGGATTCCAGGCATATAAAAGTATTATTGATGCAATATTTAAATTTTTGATGCATTTGTACTTATATTTGAACTCGGAAGAGAAAGCCAGTGTTCTATGATCTGTCCAATACGGCTTGGTATATATGGCATTAGAGGGTTGGCTTTGTTCATATATTTAACTGGTTGAACTCAATCAGTTATTTTCAATGGGGAGTATTGGTCTACCTCAGGGCTGAATTATTGTTGTACCCCTCTTGTTCTTGATTTTTATCAATAATGACGCGTTTTGAAATTATTAAGTGTGTATTTTTCTTTGCAGATTTTACCACAATGGAAATAAATTCTTCAATGGAATCGTTATCCCTGTCGCTCCAGAAAGGTACAGATCGTTCGATAGCCTTACCAGTGAACTGACTAGCTTAATTGGTAGGAATGTCACTCTTCCTAATGGTGTTAGAAATGTATATTCTATGGACGGGAAAAAGGTAAAAATTTTGAGTAAATATTTTGTATTGGACTTGTTGTTGAAGAGGAAATAACAATAAGTGCCCATGTATATTTTAAGTTTGAGAAAGAAATTTTCATATTTGCTTTCTAATATTGTCAACCCTACATGAGACCACGGGCTATAACCAAATTCAATACACTGAACCACGGGTTAAAACAAATAACTGCAACTAAGCAAGAAAACACAACCAGACTAATTAACCTAATTATAGTCAGCAAATATTGGATATAAAAGCCATTGCCACACTATGGCAAATCAGTCGTGTCTCAGCGCTTTTCTGTATCAGTAGGTGTTTAGACACGTCTCAAAAGTCGGAAGCTATATGGCCGAATAGGGATTGCGCATCGTATCTCTGTTCGAGTAGATTTCAACTGACGACCCAGACTCTGTGAGCCGTATCTCAGCGCTTTTCTGTATCAGTAGGCGTCTTAGATACGTCTCAAAGTTCGGAGCTATCTGGCCGAATAGGGATTGCGTATCGTATCTCTGTTCGAGCAGATTTCAACTGACGACCCAGACTCTGCGCTACAGTACAGGCTTCCTAGCTTCTATTGTGGTGTTGGTTTGGTTTTTTTAGCAGCTGCTGACCACAAAGATCAAGCTTGGGCTTATGCCCGACAGATTCGCTCAGGTGCTCTTCGATCATTTTCAACCCGAAGGGACGTGCTGGCTTGGGATGGTATCAATATGGTAATCTAGAGTTATTCTGGTGTTCCCCTTTCCTTCCAGTTCTGCTTTTCAGGGTGAATAATTGAGCTACGTAGCAGAGCAACAGAGGCTTCGTGACATTTGGCAGAGGCGCCGCTTTCCTGGAACACCTTGATGACCTAGCCAAGGGAAATAGTCAGGACCACTCTGAACGACGGAAGGAAAAAACCCTATAACCTTTCCTTTAACCAATCCAAACAAAAAAGGGACACACCAGATACCTTAAATAATTTCGTCAATAATAATTTAAACAAAAACTCTTGAATTCAAGATCAACCTAACTGATGAGCGAAAACGAGCTAAGTCGGAACGCTGAAAGCACTCACATTGCAGACGAAATATTTCAGCTAAGAACAAAGCAAAAATTGGACTTCTCAGAAATTTTAGGACCAGGAATAAGTACCTACCTAAAATATATAAGTGAAGAACACGGAGACAATACTACTGGAGATAATCTAGAAGAAACTGTGGTAGAAGCAAACCAGGTTGCCCCAAAAAACAAAGACGAACACGCAGATTCGTCTAACAAAAAGTCAGCAGACAAAGAAACACCAGACGAACGAACAACAGAGGAAGAAGAATCAGATCAAAACATCCAGTCATGGCAAATATATATATATATCAGGATGCAATGGCAGCAGAAAAAAAGCATCGGTACCCCAATTTATAAACCCGCCAACTTTCCACCCTTGCAGGGGAAGTGCCGCTGAATTTCTAAGGAGTTACGAGAGAACGGCAATAGCGAACGGATGGAATGATACATTGAAGACAACGTACTTAGAAACATTCCTAGATGGCGCTGCCAATATATGGTTCCAAGAGTATAAACGAGACAATCCAAACAGTGTATGGGAAAATATTGTAACGGATTTCTCAAAAGAATTTGAAGACGCCAACTATCTGACGGCCCTTAAAAGGAAAGTAGAGGACCGAAAACAGGACCCAAAAGAGACAGTCCGGAATTACTTGTACGAATTGAGAGTACTGTATCATGACTACAGGAATAACATAGCATAGATATAGAAGAATTTGTTACCATTTTCAGCAAAGGGTTGACTGAAGAAAACTTTTATCACTATTACTGGCTCACCAACCCGCCAAATGGTCCACCAGACACGCTAGAAAAAGTTAAAGAAATTGCTGGGACCATAGATTATAAAGCACCAAAAAGAGAAGTAAGAGAAATAGAAAAAGACGACTTCCAGAGACAGAGGTATGAACCTCCAAGAGCAGGCAGTCAGGGACTCCAAAATAACAGAAACCAGGTGGTGTGTTATTACTGTGGAAAAAAAGGGCATATGGCGGCCATATGCAGAAGCAGACCACAACCGAATAAATCAACGCAATACAGAAGCAGCGAAAAATGTGATAATTGTGGAAAAATAGGACACGCTGCGGCGATGTGCCGAAGCCAACCACAGAGAAATCGAGCCTATCGTCCCCGAAATTATGGCAATAATCCGATATGTTACAATTGTGAAAAACAGGGACACTTTGCAGTCACTTGCAGGAGCCAAAAGCAGCACCCAAACGGAAAAGGATGGCAAAAATAGATACCCCAACCATCCTAGCCCTAGGGGATACATCTAGAATAGAAATCTTATTCATCACAATAAATAACAGGACTCTGTCTGCTATAGTCGACACGGGAGCCCAAAATAACGTCATCCCAGCACAACTGGTAACAGGAAAAACACAGACAGATAATAACACGAAATTAGTCACTGCATAGTCAACGAATACCAGTTTTGGGAAAAATGACAACAACAATGGAAATTGCAGGAAACTTAAAGTGGAAAGGTATACTCAATGCAAAAGTCATCTCAGTGTCAGGGCAACCGATGATCCTGGGAATGGAATTTTTGACAGAGAATAGAGCCATCATAGACCTACCGAGAAAACTGCTCATATTGAATAATAAATATAGAATACGACTATATCAGAACTATAAGCAGAACATTAGCTTGTCAAGCCTCATTACCGCAAAAAACTCGAGCACGGAACCTAACTGCTCTCAAAAAGATGAAGAAGAATTCAATAACCACATACACATAAGAAAGACAGATACAAGCAGATTCCTGAGGAAAGAACATCGAGACATAAATCACCTACCAAATGACGCGCTTTTGGTATTCGGAGTAAGCCAGAACTACATAACAAAGAGGTGCATACACAGAAAATACAGGCGCAGCCTCCCGAAGAAACGGGAATCAGGAACCATTGGACAATTTAAAGAGATAAACTACGGGAAAAAATCTACAATTTTTCTATTCACGAGAGAAACGATGAAAAAAAAGCCTACCCCAAGAAACATGTACAGATGCCTGATAGCACTGAAAAATACTAGCAAATCTAGATCCCACACAACATTGGTCATCCCAAGACAAGGATGGGGATTGGAAAAAGAATGGGGAAGATTTGAAGAAATGCTGTATCATGTTTTCAAAGACTCAGGAATCGAAATCCGCATACAAAAACAGGCAGCAAAACAACAAAAGACCGGAAAAAATTCCGAAAAGGAAATTGGTCAGCTAATGCAGATAATCACCGACACCCGAAGAAAAACGCTTAAAATAGGAACCAAGAGGGATTACACTATAGCCGAGAACCAAATAGAAACAATCGAATTAGAAATCATGGGCAAAATGAATGACATAAAAGAAACAATAGGCTACCGATGCAAATACAAATTAGACTGGCTCGCAAAAAAGCACCTAGTACTAAAAACACATATTTACACAGATGGGGACTCCCTCGTCCTGAAAATACAGTCTAAAACGAGGAATCCAGCAACCATATACGCAGGAACCACCATAGCATTTTAGGAAGAGTTGGAAAACGAAAGCCCGTTGTACCACCTAGCAACGCAAGAAGAAATATTAGATGAAACCGAGGAAATAACACTAGAAGACCACAAACTAGAGAACATTAGAGACAAAAGAGCCAAACAGGCATTCCAGGATCTCCTGCTAGAATATAATGACGTTTTCGCCAAATCAACTAAACACATGGGAAGAACAAACCTAACAGCACATAAGATAGAAATAGGAGAAGCGCAACCAATAAAAAGTCGTCCATACAGAGTGTCTCAGAAAGAAAGACAAATAATCGATGAACAAATCAAGGAGATGCTGCTTGTCACTCCCCGTGGGCTAGTCCGGTGGTTCTAGTAAAGAAAAAGGATGGAAAAACGAGATTTTGTGTAGACTACCGAAAAATAAATGCCGTGACGAAAAAATCAACGTACCCACTACCACAAATGGACGATATTTTGTCATTCTTAGGGGACGCAGCATACTTTAGCACCCTGGACATGTTCTCGGGATACTGGCAGGTACCTGTAGAAGAAGGATCAAAACAATACACAGCATTCGTCGCACAGGGACATGGTACATATGAATTCAACGTTCTCAGTTTTGGGCTATGCAATGCTCCAGCCACCTTTCAGGAGCTTGCAGACCAAGTATTTTGGGACATGAAATGGAAGGAAGTACTTATATACCTGGACGATATTATAATCTTTTCAAAAACATTAGAGGAACACATAGCCAAACTAAGGAAGGTCTTAGAACGATTACGACAAGCAAACCTAACACTCAAACCAAGCAAATGCGAGTACCTAAGACAGGAAATAAAAATTTTGGGATTCAAGGTCAGCGAAAAAGGAGTCTTGCCAGATGAAGAAAAGATTATATGTATAAAAAACTTCCCAACCCCCAAAAAGGTTAAGGACGTGCAAAGCTTCTTGGGACTTTGCAATTTCTATAGGAAACTAAGCAAGAAAACACAACTAGCAACGGAGCAACAGAGGCTTCGTGACAATATTTTGTACAATCCTATACCACCCCATAGCTCAGTGGTTATATTACCTCCTATTTTATAGGTATTATACTCAGTATAAAAGAGAAATGACTACTCTACAGAAGTACAAAACCATATAAAAATTGAGCCAATATTCTTTGGTAGTGGTTTTGGAGGTAATCAATCCAAATCGTCAAAGTTGTAGATCATTTTCCTTTTTTTAAAGAAGTTAATCCTGTTAAGACTTATTTACTCTTTTCAAAAAAGATCTGATCAATATTGCGCAACAAAAATGTTTAATTGAAGCAATGAATAAATATTTTGGTATCCACACTTGCAGATCTATAATCACGGCTTTCTTATTTATTTGGTAGGTGTTTATGGGATACTGGTTGTATATTTTACTTTGAAAACTATATCTATATTCAGACACACTCAATATAGACTTGTTAATGTGCATTTTCAATC